CCCGTCACAGTGGCGTAGTCAGCAGGATCCACGTATCTTGGTCAACTGAGCTTTGGATCAGGACCCCGCGCTGTCTACATGTGGGTTGTTAAAGAGCCGCTGCAGCGAGTCAGCAGCAGCAAGAGAGTGTGGCCAGAGAGGCTCTGGAAGGTGGATGTTGGAGAGAGGCCCTGACTTTAGAAATAAGCTACTAAGCCAGAGCTGAGACCGTTGCTAACGCTGACCGGCCGGCGGGCGAGGGAGCAGCACTCGCCCAGTGCCACGCATGCTGTGGCGGAAGCAGTCAGAAGCAGCAGGCACTGAAGAGAGTGGAGCTGGAACACAAGGGGGCCCTGGCTGACCTGCGTCGAGGGGGAGGGAGGCGGATGCCGAAGTGGAGGAGAGGCCAAGGAGGCGGATGCTGACAGGGAGCGAAAGGCAAAGGAAGCGGCCCAGGCACAGCAAGTGGAAGAGCTGCCGGCTGAGGAGAGTTCCAAGCAATTCCAACTCCTCGAGGAGCAGCAAACGCTACAGCGACCTGAGAGCCCAGCCCCACTGGCCAGCAGGAGCTGGGAAAGGATCGGGCCCATCTACAAAGAGACTGGGGAGCTGTGGGCCACCTCTGATCGTCTTTGCACTGTGAACCGGATCCCAGAGGGCCAGAGCACGCCGGTCCTGGTGACCAGGCGGACTGGCAGGGCCCGGGAGGTGTTCAATGACCTGCGGGAGGAAGGAGCCTTAGACGACGGGCGGTTCAAGGACTATGCGCTGAGACGGCTCAGGGTTACCCCTGAATCCCACCGGGTTACATTTAGGAGCTTTCCAGTGCCCAGGGCCTGTGCGTACGTGGAGCGTGCTCACCAGCTGATGGGCTGTGGGGGCCAAAGCGAAGGGGATTTTGAGACACTGCTGGGTTTAGTCACCCTGGAGCAGTTTCTGAATATTGTGCCTGACCAGGCTGTGTGATCGGGAGGCCGTCAGTCCTGCGGGCTGCAGAGTTTGCAGATGCCTATACCCAGAATGGGGCCCAAGACGGCGCAAACCCCCCCC